GGGGGGGGGGTGCTGGGGGACAGGCCTGCCACCACCACCAGGGGATGCCAGAGGTCCCCATGGGGACAGGCAAAGGGCGGGGACCTCGGGGGTCCCAGCGGGACAGGATAAGGCTGGGCTGGAGCCGGGTGAGGATAGGACCAGGACAGAAGGTACCGGGTCTGGGTGGGGAGCCCTGGGGGATGCATGGCCTAGGATGAGCTGCTATGGTCTTTCTGGCTGCACCTCAACCTTGGTAACCACCCCTCCTCCTGGTGCTGCCCGGCATAGTGATGTGGAAGCCATCGCCAAGCTCATCACCACCTTCCTGGAGCTGCACCGCCTAGAGAGCCCCACGGATCTGTCCCAGAGTAGCGACAGTGAGCCCGATGGCCCTGGGAGCCAGAGCTGACCCCACAGAGCCCCTGGCCTTGGTTCTAACGGTGCTTCAGCAGGCCTCACGGGCCACCAGCCAGTCTTCCTCCGCATCACCCAACTGCGTCCCTGGCAGCCCCAGGATGGGACCCTCAGCCACCCGTTGCTTGCTGCTGCCCTCTGAACAGAACCACAGCTGGACCATCTCTGCAGGGTGTCCCAGGGGGGCATAGGCTTCAGATCTGCCTCCCAGAACCATGTGGCCCCAGTCTGGGCAGTTTGGGGTGTGAGTGAGGTGGGCAACGTGGCCTGGTCTGGACAGACCCACCCCACAGCCAAGGACACCCAGGCTCTTGCACCGAGACTGAGCACTTAGTGGGGAGGGAGGTTGTCCGGCACAGATCCCGTGGGAATTCAGCTCGAAGGTTACAGTGAGGCTTCAACTGGCCAGTGCAGGGCCGGCAGCTGGGTCAGGCTGCAGACACTGAGGCCTGCGTGTTGTCCCCAGGAATCCCAGTGACTCCTTACTGGCCCCCATGCATCATCCTTTTCCTAGCCAGACATTCTCAGTGGTCAGGGTGAGGGACCTGCCCTTGGGCTGCTAGGGCCACTTGACTGCTATAGCTGTTCCTGAGGCCTCCCCGACATACAGACTGCTTTCTACCAGGATGCCTTATCTTGGACCATCCAGGATAGTGCTGGGCTGTCAAGAGGAAGACAACTTCCCATCCCAGCCTCATGCCCTATTTAAAGCCAGGACTCCACTTTTAGAAATCAGATTCTGGTTTCTCTTGAACCCAGGAAGACCTGTCAGTTGGGCCCATTTGTGTGGCAGGAAGCGGCTGCATCCACAGGACTGGGCACAGCACACCTCTGAGCAGGGTGTGACAGACAGACCAGGCTGAGGCTGCGTGGGTGACACCATGGTCAGCAGTTTCGAGGACCCTCTCCTTCCTCAGCAGTGGCTGCCACCAGCCCTTAGTTTGGGAACATGGTCACTTAGACTTGCTAAAGTTAGCTTTTCAAATGGTCAAATTGAAATGCTTTTTTGCTAAAACAGTGTGAATGGCTGTTACTGGCTTCCATATGTTCATGAGGACAGAGATGCTGATGTTCCCTGAGGAACGGGCAGGACTGCTTGTTCCCCATGCCTCCCACCTGGGCTGTTCTGGACCTTTGGCCAGGGTCCCTGTGAGGGCCTGACTGCAGCCAGGGCAATAGTGACTCGGTCACATTCCTGTTGGCTCAATTTCTAGCTTCTACTTTGCTTTTTATTTCATGAGAATTAAAATTCAGTGTGCAGATCAGTGAACAGGTCCCCACGAGCATTTCCTTCCAGGTTTTCTGCCATTTTCCCCGATAACCATCTGCACGGTGGATGCTGCCTACATGCCTGGTGTCCAGGGCTCAGCAGGAGGTGGACGTAGCTGGAGGGGGTGTGGGGAGGTCCCTTCCCCTCGGGTCCTGATCTGCATCAGGGCCAGTGCTGGCCAGCAGGGGTGGGGGAATGGCGGCCTCAAGGTCCTGCAGTAGTGCCTGCAGCAGCCCCAGGCTGGGTTCCACATTCTCCTGCAGCCACTCCTCCACAGCATCCTCGTGGAAGACTCTGCGCAGGGCGGCCTCCAGCTCCTGCACAAGGGCACTCCACCTGGCCAGGAGACTGCGGGCCCCCATGTGTTAGTACAGTTCTGTACCTCAGTTTACCCACCCATAAGACAGGGCTATTGGCATTGTTGGGAATCAGTGACTGTCACTGTTTAACATCTGAACCTGGAATGTGTTTTTCAACTGGCTGGCAGGGTTTCCTTGGTACCCACACCTGTCACCGGTGCACAGCATCTTACATGTAGTGTGGACAGTCTGCATGGGCCTCAGCTCAGAGCGGGGAGCCAGGAGACCATGGGGAAGGCTGGCTGGGAGGACTAGGGTTGGGGGGAGGGGGGGCAGGATCGGCCCAGGCGGTCTGGCATCACAGTGCGCCGGGACCCTGCCCAGGTCATTCTGGTCACCTCCCCCTTTTAGGCTAGGACACCCTGGCTTCTCTAACGTTCAGGGGCACAGCTAATTCGGCGAAGTTGAGTCACCTGGGAATCCAAGCTTGTTTGTTGTAGCTAATTGCCACAGAAAGCTGCCACCATGTAACGGGACATGCAGTAACAGGGGACATGGGACATGTAGCTCCAGGGGAGGGCACAGCGGGAGGGGTGGCTACCTGAGTGCCTGGGGCTGGATGTGCTGGATCATGACAGGGTGGATGAGCTTCCTCCTGCGATGGTAGGGGCTGAACCAGCCTGTCACGTACCTGGGAGCAAATCCACACACACAGGTAGGCCCCAAGTAAGGAAGCAGGGTGGTTTTTAAATAACACCCTTGAAATCATTTAAGAGTCTGGTAGAAATTTTAAAATGTTGCTTTCCCCCTAGTTTTGGTGCAGGATGGGCTGGCCCTCCCCCTGGGTGTGTGTAGGGCTCGCTCCTCCGCCCACTCCCCCTGCCCCCACTCACCTATCCCTCTGCAGCATCTCGTCCACAGAGCTGCGCAGGTGGAGGTCGACTTGGGTGACAAGGGCCAGGATGTCGCTGCCCGGGAAGGAGCCGGCCCCATCACTGCACAGAGAACCCAGGTGCTGAGATGGGG